CAGGATGGTCTTGGAGCAATAATCTGTAAGGCAGTCTCAAGCCATTATAATACAATGGACTGTGACAGTCTACCTAATATAATAGGATAGTCTTGGGGCAATAATCTGCAAGGCAGTCTCAAGCTATTATAATACAATGGACTGTGATAGTCTACCTAATATAATAGGATGGTCTTGGAGCAATAATCTGCAAGGCAGTCTCAAGCTATTATAATACAATGGACTGTGATAGTCTACCTAATATAATAGGATGGTATTGGAGCAATAATCTGCAAGGCAGTCTCAAGCCATTATAATACAATGGATTGTGATAGTCTACCTAATATAATAGGATGGTCTTGGAGCAATAATCTGCAAGGCAGTCTCAAGCTATTATAATACAATGGACTGTGACAGTCTACCTAATATAATAATAGGATGGTCTTGGAGCAATAATCTGCAGGGCAGTCTCAAGGCATTATAATACCATCGGCTGCAGCAGTTTATCTAATATAATAAGATGGTCTGGGCAGTCCTCTAGTTATTATAAAGCAATTATCTGGGGTAACTGTTATACTACGGTGATCAGTGTCAGTCTAGCTTTTATAAAACGAAAGTCAGGGCAGTTCTAGCCATTATAATGCAACTAGGTTAACCTTTTATTTTGGGGTTAGGTTTAATCTATACATAATAATCTACACAGGATAAACATAACTTTATTTATTTTGCTAAATTTATTTTATATCAGCTATCTACAAACTGTGGTAGACATAAATTATAAAATGATTCTGTCATGAAACTTTCCAATGGTCTCCATTTAACCCAGAGTTCATCTTGTAGTATGCTGATATTTGGGTTACCATAAAAATGTGGATCCTGAAAAAGTAAACAAAATATTATAATGTAAAACAACTGCCACTTTACATTGATACATACCCAGCCAAAGCCAATAGAATTTGAATACAATGTTTACTAAATGAAATACAAGATGAATTACACTTTTTACTAGTTTGTCATAAATATCATTTAGACATATTGCATTCCCTGCTAAAAATGAAATAATCAAAAGCAGTTTTGGAAACAGGTGCATTGCAACAGAAAATAAAGTTGTATAATTGTTTGTGATGTTTCCTGTACATGTATAACTTTTATCTTTAACTTCTCACTAGTATACTTTTTGGTAATACTTAATAGAAATGTACTTATTCTAAAAATGCAATAAAATATTACGACTGTAAAATCTGTATTAGATACTGCGGCTTCTATTAAAATGGTACAATGCAACAGAAGGGATGTGGCTTCTATTAGAGCATCTACAATGGTGAATTTTTGGTTCTCAATTATTCAAAAAGAATGGGTGCTACTTCTATCAAGGATGCGGCTTCTAATACAGATTTTACGGTATTACTCATATTAAGGGGCAAATATTAGAAATTATGGGGGAGGGTGGCTGGAAGAGCATGACTAGAGTAAATCTTTTCCACAGGTGTCTTGTTTGAACATTCTTACTGTTCTTCAAGGTGCCAACATGTTCCCCCACAAAACCTTGCATGCATATTTTTTTCTTTTTTTTAATAAATCTTCCAGCCACCCCCAGGGTTTCAAATGGACTAGCCTTTATATAAACTTTACAATTTACCAGTGTAAGTAGATATGTTTTATCCAGAGATTGACAAATTCCTAGAACACCTTTAGAAGATGTATCAGTATCACCACCTATAATAAAAACGAACGAACTGTCATTCCAATATACTGAGGGCGCTGTACCATTCCTGCTTATTATTTAATCTCACATGTTGGGGGCGCTGTCAACCCACTTGTGATGTTATGGTTGATACACAAATTCATGATGCAAAATTGAACATTTGCATTCACAGAAGTAATGTCAGCAATAATTTTGTTCATGCCTTTGACATGTTAAGTTATATATACTAGTATACCTGAACTGTAATAAATGCAACAGCTTAGGTATTCATAAGATATTCTTTTTGCCAATAGCTGAACACCATTGAGCAGTATCATAGCTTTGCTTGTGATTTAGTTTTCAGCTTCTTTCAGGGTGTTATGAGGTCACCAAACCGCACACATGATTCTTTGTTCAGTGCTTGAAGATGGGCATCATTACAAAATCAATTCATTCGATGTGAAGCATTTTCCATTAGGAACAAGTTTGAGATTCATACAAGTTTTTTCCTGTATAACCCTCAGAACCCCCTCTTTTGAATTTATATGACAACTATTTTACTAGTGTTAGCACTGTGTAGTGTGAACTTCTAAGATTGAAAATTACATACAATGTAATGAAGGGATACATTGTAGGGAAAACAAAACAAAAAAAAAGAGGAAAAACGCCAATTTTTTTTAACAATAATGCATAAAGAAATTTAATCCATTTGGGCGATTCTTTCACTGTCAGCGAAGCACTCCCAGTCGAAATCATGCTTAGTACCGCTACACACTCCCGTTCTTGCTAATTTCTTCTTACAAATCAATCAAGTTTATAACAGAATCGCATCACGGCCAATGTTGAAGGGTATATAGTAACATCCTAATATTTTTTCTACATCGGGAGGATAGCTAGAGCAACAATTTATTCCATTGTGTAAAATGGGAGGGTACATTGACAATATAATGTATTATCTAAGATGTGAGGGTAGAATATCGATAATGTATCATCCAAAATGGGAGGGTGGAGTAACAATCTAATTTATTTCCTTTCACCTGAGTAATCTTATTCTGATTGAAAATTGCCCCTTTGCTGATATATCAAGTGTCTGCAGATTCATTTTTTTAATTAATAGAAAAATGTATTGTCAATTATAGAGTGACTGCATTTCACAAAAATTGGAATTTTGTTATATTTAATTTAACCAAATATTATGAGTTTATCATGGTTCAGGGAATTGTTTGAGATTCAGTGGAGTTTTCAGATTTGTCTTTAGAGTGTGATAAGCATAGACATTGTGACATTTGCACATTCTGACATTTAAACACGCTGATTGATACATTATCTGAATTATTAGATAAGGAACCTTATGTGCTTGGTACAGGTACAGTTACCTCAAGTGACTTGCTGACCTGATGTACTCGTCAAGTAACTCGTGTATACACGTAATATTTTGCAATTGAAGTGTTTGGGACGGGATAGCTAAAGCAACTAACTGGTGTTTTCACCAAGTTGAATGACCCATCACCCGATTGTGAGCGTATTTAGATATAAACAAGCAGCCTGTTGGCTGAGATTGCTCCGCTGTTAACAATGCACATTTCAAATAACAGAACTGAAGATATCATAAGAAAATGAACTATATGTACAGTATCAAAGCAATCGAACTTGCTGTTTTCAACAAGAATTCAAAAGTTTTACTTTTTTCCAAAAATGACAAAAATATTCATTAAAATTAGACAATTGAAGATATCATCACGAAATGAACAACTCTGAGAGAGGTCTACCTGAGGTACCTATTTGTAGGGTATCGAAGCAATCAGACCTGCAGTTTTTAACAAAAAGTCGAAAATATCACTTTTTACCATAAAAGACAAAAATCATCATTAAAATTAGAGAATTTCAGATATCATCATCAAATGAAAAAATCTGAGCGAGGTCAACATGTAGTACCTATATATGTAATATCAAAGCAATTGGATTTTGGTTTTTAACAAATCTAAGAGAGGTCTGCCCAAGGTACATATACACCAAGTATCAAAGCATTCAGGCTTGTAGTTTTCAAGAAGAAGTCGAAAAAGTAAACATTGACACGGATGACGACAGACAATCACTCATATGATAAGCTCCGCTCGACAAAGTCGACAGCGGAGCTAAAAATAGTATGTACAGTCGGTATATTCGAATTAATGTGCATTCGTCCCCCTTGTTGGTCAAATATTTGACACCTACACCATCGATAAATAATATTTACTATTTGGAACTACAATCAATACATTCATGAGCAGAATAATCGAGCCCCTTTCGCTACCGGCATTGCGACGCAGAAATAAGGAACTTATTTTTATGCTGTTATCTGAATAACGTGTACAGACCGGTACGCAACGTGTGAACTTGCATCCAAACCAGTGAAGTGTTCACATGAAATATTTTATTGGAGATGACTTGGCTTTATGAAGTGTAAAGAAACAAAGAATATTACTAATAGTGGTCTAAACACCACCGCATAATCTTATACGTCATCTATCGGAGCAGTCCCCCCCCCAACACACATACACACACACAGCTGTATATTTTTGCATTGCAGACTGAAGAAGAATTTTGTGTATTCACATACATTATAAACCTAATAAAATTAAAAAAAAATAAAATTCAATTCCATGCTGAGGAGAATTATGCGTAAATAGATTTGGTGTTTCATTATTGACCAACCAACGTTAAAGCAAATTCTTTCCGTACAACCCTAAAACAAACATGAATTTGTGAAACCCAAGTTGTGCTTTGCCCATCACATCTTTATGGTAATCTTAAAATGAATTTTGTCATGTTTTAATAGAATACGCCTTTCGATAACACTTTACTGGTTCGGCTTGATCAGTAAGTGATTTGGTGTGAGATCATGTCATAGTCAGCAAGCGTACACTCAATAATGAAATAAATATGATCAATTTACTGATATTTACTGCATGCGAGCAGCCATCTTAAATACGGCTTGAAAATAAATAGACAAATTGAATAACGTTTTTTTTTTTCAGATTCCTACACACCTACGTTCGAGGCAACATTAGACCAGCGGTGTAGCATTATCTTAATATGCAGGAGATTTTT